GAAAATAAGTTCTTTTTCCATTTCAACTTTTTTTTTTCCTGCCCTTGGGGTGAAGGCTTTAGTGGCAAGTAGAATGACATTCGATCATGATATCCCGTTGCATAAAGCACTACAAGTGATTTTTCAATGGCAACTGCTGGTCCTCTAGTGGTTGAGATTAGAGTAGAAAAACTCCGTAAAGGTGAAGAAGGGTTTTGTTACACCTTGTCAATGACGCTCCAATCCGGGCCACGTGGCAAAAAATGTATGAGCATGTGCATCACGTAATTGTTGTGACATAAAAATTCTGGCCGAGCTGATATGACGAAGCTTGATTCGGATCTATTAGTTGCACCCGAGCCACTGTAGTTAAGTCTGACAACACTAGAGGCAACTCAAGAGAGGATCGTCATGAAAGATCATATTGCAAGTAGATGATTTAACATGTCATTGAAAAGGCTACCCCACTCATATTAAGTCTTACACCTCTGTCGCACTCATTGCAGCCTAGTCTAGGAATGATTGATTGATACTTACAGCAAAGAAAGTCCAGCCGCGTGGATGAAGCCACACGTATTGTCATCCAATGGCTCACCTTTATCATCTTCTACTATAAAAGTTCACACATAGTTTCATTCAAAGGTCATGCAAGTTTATATTCTCTCACTATAATATTACTTTACTTTCTTATTCTGTTCTCTACAATATCCACAATTCCAAGCCCATTTTACTTTGATAAATCGGTTGTCCCGCACCCTATTATATATTCATTTCTATTGATTTAATTGTCAGAGTGCATGCAGCCACTTTCCCCATCATCAGAGTTTGTCCGTTTGCTCTAACGATTTGTTCAAGTGTACAAGATTAAAGTTTATGTGAACACTAGAGGAGTTGAAATTTGTTGACCACGTCACCCCTACAAAAAGTGAGGTCAATAGGTTTGCCTCGAATCCAAACAATTTCTTGTCTTCTCTTAAGATATTTCTAGTTAGGACTTGATCAAGGGATCAAATTACGTCAAAACATAAAGTATCCAATTAATTGAGAAGGACACTTTCTAAGAATATGAATCAATCCAACCTAAGATAGTAAGATGTCAAACATGTTCACAATGTTTTATATGAGACTACAATTCAGGATATCCTTCGAATTAATCTGCCCTTTTGGGCTTACCTTCCCTGGCCAACCAAGCTTTGATATCCAATGTGGGTTAATAGGCCCACAACAAAGATGTGTAAAACGAGGCTAGAGACATTAGCCTGGAAGACCGCCAATTCAAGCAATTGACTTAAATGGCACTAAACTGAAGAATTTTTCATCAAACTTTCACCTTACACTCGTGAAAATATTTAATTTCAAATTTTTAGTTATCAATCCAAACCCAGAAAACAAAATACAGTTTCATAAAATTGACTTTGTGAGAACTATATATACGAGAGATTTCAGCGACTATATTTGCACAATATTTGATGAACCTTGATTATTTGCACATGTAATTTGTGTAATTCACGCGTGCGAATAACACGACTCGAAAGGATCTATCATCCATCACCAATGACATTAAATCTCCATTAATGTCACAAAATTAATTAGCATTTAATGAACATCTAATCCTCATTATTGAAAGGCCAAGTGGGGCATTAGACAAGAACAAAAGCACAAGTAACATTATTCTGCCTTTAGTATATTCAGTACGATAAATCCAGTCTGGACTCCTTATTTTAATTAATCTTACATAATACAAACCTAACTCCACATGTAAATGTCTTGTCCTAAAATAGTGTTCATGATGTCCTTGTAATTATTTGCTGTCGTTTTTATTATCTTATATGCCATCATTATCAACCAGTTGATGCTATAAATTTCATCTATCGTCGTATAAATTACTTCAGATATTAAGATTGATGTAAATTCAAATGAGCCACCGTCTCGTGGAGTATGTTTGATTAATATCACGGATAAATTTCATTTGGGAACTATCAATTTGGTCATTTAACTTTAGTTTTAGTCTTAATTAGGTCATTAAACTTGAAATCAGTTTCAAATTTCACTCCTTTGTCATATTCTGTAACTAATCAGCCTCCAAACTGGAAGAAATTACTTAGTTGGTAGCCACATTGTAATTGATTTTCTACATTATCACTGTGTGTGTGACACCCTAGAGAAGAAAATGGTAAAGTAAGGGTTGTAACAATATCTTAAAAGGTTAAAATGAGTGTCATTTTTTATTGTGACACATTTTTATAATGTGACGTATTGGTGGATAAGTATGTTGCACATCTATTATCTGGCAGATATATTGTTACATTACTGCTAATTAAACTTTTCATCAATTTTCGGAGATACATGCGACAAAGTGAAGGATTTTGAAACTAAATTAAAGTTCAATGTTTCAATTGAAACTAAATTCAAATTTAGTGACCTAGTTAAGATATTCTTAAACTTCCCATCGGAGAAAGAAAACATAAACAACATATAAGTGGTTGGACAATCCCTCTTAATAACTTCTATGACAAAATCCTAAGTTTTGATGAGAATTAAATTTAGCTCTATTCAAAGTAGTGTGAAAAAAATGACGTAATTTATTATTATCTAAATAATTTCTACTTATTAGATTTATCAAGATAGAGGGTAAAAACAAGAAAGATTCTAGCATTCTTGTAACGACAACAAAATACAATATATGACAAGATTACTTCAAGGATGACCTCATTGTACATTTGTGATTATAGTTCAAATCACGACCAACACATAGCTCGATCAGCTACAATTTGACTCTAGATTAGTTGATCATCACAAGTCAGAACCTTTTGTTTGATCGAGTTAGACTGATTGCTAACCATCAACAATCTAAATGGATAATATTATTCACTGGGGATAGCAAAAAAATCCGACAAACCTGATACCCTCATGGCCCCATCCCGAACGAGGCGGGATTACACGCTTAATCGAGTATTCGGGTTGGGAACGAGTAACGAGTACCTTGCCCTATTTAAAGTTTTTTTTTTTAGTATTCAATACTTTAAATGGAAAATTTTACGAAATTTCAATACTTCTATAAAAAATAGCAACTAAGATTATCTAAAAAATTATGACAAATAATAAAAGTCTTAGTTTACAAAATATATTTGAAATATAAAAATATATTATTATCTCACTTCAATGAATGAGGATAATAAAATAAATTATCAAAAAAATTAAACATAATAATAAACGGGGTAAGGGCTTCGCCCCGCCTTAAACGGGTAACAGGGCATGGATAGGACGGGAAATTGCTTGGTGGGGCAAGGGACGGGGGAGGTTTCCCGGACCCCGACCCGTTGCTATCCCTATTATTCACCTAGTAATTTTTTAATTATAAATAAAATGAGTTATAGATAAAAATAAGTGGTACTTTAGACAATTTGTGCACGCGATTATCTAGTCGAGCGTACAACGGAATTGGAAAAATTGCATAACTTAAGCCCTCATTTGGTATGGATTAAAATTCAAATTTAAATTTAAATTTAAATCAATAATTAGTTTTAAGCACACATTTCATGAATACCGCAATGTTTCAACCAAATATTTTATAATTTACTAAAAATTTAGCTCACATTTAGTGAGGATTAAAATCAGATTTTTAGTATGTTTTAATAGAAGTTAATGAAATGTGTGGTTGAAAAGATGTGAAACTTATAAAATATATGATTAAAATTAATTGTAGACTTTAACTTAAATTAAATTTTTGATTTTAATTGATATTGTCCAATTGCCTTAGCTTGAAGTTGTCGGGGGCATTAACCCTCACCAGACATGGGCCGAATTTGTAATAATAAAATTGTACAAATTACAATTGCCTTAGCTTTACGTAGTCGCCTTGCTGGACAGTCAATTTTGATAGCTGTCTCCAGTCCACGTGCGGACCTACCTATCAAACCCAAAAATAAGTTGTGAAATTTTGTCCGTAAAAATGAGATTTTATTCTCTGCATCTCGATCCTAGTGCATGCACCTTTCGTCTGCAGACTAGGTCTTTATAGATTCTTAACGTGGTCCGAACCGCAGGGTATCCTAGGTCAACTTGCGTGTCAGCTTCTGGTTTGCTTACATTTGTTTGACAACTCAGTCAACGCTTTAAGAAACAGCGTCAATCCGAGCAGGGACTTTCATTTTAGAATTGAAAAATGTTATTCATTTTCAATGGGGATGCATCCCCATTCTATATGAATATAAATGATTGGTTAAATGATAGGTAAAATTAAATGACTTATTTAATTTCACATATCATTTAATGTCTCATTAATGCCACATAGACTGGAGATGCATCTTCAGTGATGATGAATAATATTTCTCTTTAGAATTTTGCTACTTTGTTATGATTTATACCATCCTCCTTGACGGATGAAAATGATTGGATGTAAATAATGATTGCATTTACAACAGTTTAATGATATGATGTTATGCGTCATTATGTCAACTTATCTGTTAAGAAAGAGCCACGTAGCATGACAAAGCGACAAATTTGTTAAGAGAGAAAGTTGCCAACAGTGTAGGGCCCAGTCCCTACTGTGCTCTTTCCTTTTCTTGCAAATTGCGCTTCCCTTTTCCCAATTCAGCCAGCATTCATTGCAAAATTGCCAACCCATAAAATTAATTATTTTATTTTATTTTTTAATACTAATGATGATGTATTAAGTCAAATATAATTTTTTATTAGTAGAAAAGTGGAAAGGCGGTTTATTGATAAAAGTAAAAGAGTTTGGTATAAAGTTGAACCATCTCAAGGTGGCTTATGGCTAACAAATAATTGAAAAAACAAAAAGAAGTGTCTCTCCTCTCTCTCTTTTTGACTGTCCTAGTTACCAGACAGTACCAGTATTCACCCTGTTTCCTTTTCTGAGCAGAAAAAACAAATCCCAAATTCAAGAAATTCTATGTTCTCTGTTCACTCCCCCATTCTCATCAAAATAACTCTCTAATTTTCATGTAAATATTTCATCAAGATTCAATCTTTCTTAATCAAGATTTTGTTTTGAAACAATGGATCATATTGGAGAACAAATCTTGATCATTTTCTCAGTATTTTTACTCATTTTCTCTTCATCAGCAGCAAATCCTACTACTCCACTCAACTGTACAGACACCACAAGGCTATGCACTTCTTTTATAGCTTTCAAGCCCACGGCAGAGCAGACTCTAGCAGTGATCCAAAGCATGTTTGATGTATTGCCACAGGACATAAGAATTGAAGGCAATGGGAGGAACTATATTTTCATTAAAAAGAATTGTTCTTGTTCTTCAGATTTGAACGAGTACTTAACCAGTACTACTTTTACTGTAAGAGAAAACAATGGTTCTGTGTATGATATGGTGATGAGGGCTTATGATGGGTTGGCCTATTTTTCGTCGAATGTCACACGGGAGGCAAGAAATGGTGCTGTGGTGTCTTTGAAGCTTATGTGTGGGTGTTCAAGTGGATTGTGGAATTATTTGATGAGTTATGTGATGAGAGATGGGGATAGTATAGAGTCCTTAGCCAGTAGATTTGGGGTTAGTATGGATAGTATTGTGACTGTTAATGGGATTGCTAATCCTGATAATGTCACTATTGGGGCACTCTACTATATACCATTGAATTCAGGTATGATTTGGGAGTTCAATTATTGTTTTTACTTTTAGTTTCGATGATCTTTTGCTTGTTATAGGATTATGGGCTTGATCATTTGATATTGGATTTTTCTCTATGATATTTTTGGTACTGAGTTTTCCTTTTGTTGGTTGATTATGTTTGAGATAGTGATAGTGGGATTGCCTTTTGGGTTTGGAGTTTGGCTAAGTAGTTTATGTTGTTTAATTGTTGGCAAGGATGGAAATGATCAATTGGAGCAAGTGTTTGTGACATTTTCTCTTTTGAAATCGAATAATAAAAATTTGTGAGAAGTACAATAGAATTTTGTAGCTCGAATTGAGTCCTGTCGGTTCCCAATAAAATAGATAGAATCGCCTCTGCTACAAATATAATGCAGGCCTATATATAGTTGTTTGGCAATGCACCTGCTATTGTCCTGAGCAATGGTGTAATTGATGATATGTTATTTGGAACCAACCGCTTGAGAGTACATGATACCAAATTTCTTTGTAATGTAAGGGAGATTCTATAAGCAATTTTTACTTCTGTTTAAGCTGTAAGAAGAGGGACTTTGATAGCCAAATTGGGAAATTCAGTATTGTCTAGATTTTAAAATCGGGTATCATTATAGTAAAAAGCCTTCAATCTTACTCCGCACTCTGCACTGTAATCTCTCTACGTGACTTAAAATTTGAACGAGGCCTTGATATATTTTCATTTTTTGTTTATCTATTATGTTTCAGTTCCTGGTGAGCCTTATCCCTTAAAGAACGATACCTCTCCAGCTCCTGTTCCAGCTCGCTCCATTGATAACTTTGTTGGTATGTAACTTTTACACATGGACATTCCTTTAGATTCATCACAATTGCTTTGCCTAGTGGATACGATTTGTTTAGAGGAATAAATTTGCCGTAAATGTCATGTTAACTCTTTTTTTAAGCTCTATATAATCAAAGTAAGAAAAGATTTAAAATGTTGTGTTGTAATATATATTTCTTTGTCTTTTCAGTAAATCACAAGCCGCGGGTACATTATTGGTGGATCATTGGAAGTTTGGTTATTGGTCTGACTCTGGTCGTCATAGTTGTACTTGTTTTTATTTTGAGATCATCGGGTTGTTTTGGTGGACCCCAGGGAATCCAAATAAAAGAATCTGATGAGAATTTTTTTCCCAAGTTTCGTATTCTACGAAACACTAGTTTCTGCTGTGCTTCAGGAAGGTACATTTGTTGCAAGTCCGGGGAATTGAAGCAGCGAAATGGAGAATCTAGCAACCGTCAGATGAACATTCCTTCAGGTTCAAACTTCAGTTTTACGAGCTTTTCGTTTTACATTCTGTATCAAGTGAAGATTAACATCGCTTTAAGTTGCTGACTTGGGATTTTTGTATATTAATTTTAACTTGTTTCTCTTGTTCGCTGCAGTTATAGGGACTGATGTCTTTGATGTAGAGAAACCTGTGGTTTTCACATACGAGGAAGTTCTTTCTTCAACGGATGATTTTTCCGATTCAAATCTTTTGGGCAATGGAACGTATGGTTCAGTGTATTATGGCCTGCTCCGTGACCAGGTTTATAACTCTTCAGTTTGTTTCTACGGATTTGTTGTGAGCCTAAAATGTTATTCTGAATAGTGTAAAATTTCAGGAAGTTGTGATCAAAAGAATGAAGGCTACAAAAACTAAAGAATTTATTGCAGAGATGAAAGTTCTGTGCAAAGTTCATCACACGAATTTGGTAATACTAATCAGAAGTTCACATTCACTCTAATTCCTATGTTTTTAACTATGGTCTCGAATTTCATTTAAATTGAATATTGACTTTATATGGTTTAATTTTGTCAAAGGTAGAACTGATTGGATATGCTGCCAGTGATGATGAACTCTTTCTTATATACGAGTATGCTCAAAAGGGTTCGCTTAGAAATCATTTGCACGATCCTCAAAACAAAGGTGAGATCCACTTGTATGCCTCGCTAGAAGATAGTTAACTGCTTGATCTTTGTTGTCTCAAATTCTTTGAGATATTTTCCTAAATAGGTCATACATCACTCTCTTGGATCATGAGAGTTCAGATAGCTCTTGATGCTGCTAAAGGGCTGGAGTACATACATGAGCACACCAAACCCCATTATGTGCATCGCGATATCAAATCAAGCAATATTTTACTTGATGCCAGTTTTAAAGCAAAGGTTGTTTTTCATATTTACGCTCTTTTTTTTGCATGTTTGGTATATCAAGCTGGACAGTATAACGAATAAGATTTTGGCTTCATTCTCTTCGTTAATACAGTCTAGTCATATCAATCCTTCCTACAAAATGTGGCATTAGTGTTCAATTACTGCATCTGATTGATTTGACTTCCGCAGATTTCAGATTTTGGTTTGACAAAACTAGTCTCAAGAACCAACGATGGAGAAGCTTCAGTTACAAGAGTTGTTGGAACGTATGGATATCTAGCTCCAGAGTAAGTAAAAATATTAATGATTTGGCTCAAGCCAGTTTGTTTTGGGTTTTTTCTTATTGCTTTCACTTTCTGGTTTCTTTAGATACTTGAGGGATGGCCTGGCTACAAATAAGAGTGATGTGTATGCATTTGGCGTTGTGCTTTTTGAAATAATATCTGGAAAGGAGGCCATGATAAAAAGTACTGAACGACGTTCACTGGCATCCATTGTAAGTACTATCATCCCGTTGAAAAAGTATAATCCCGTTGATAGATCGACACAAAATAAATTGATGAATTAGCTACGTAACTTTACTATTCAGATTGATCCAATGGAAGCTGTGCCGGTTTAGTGTTTGGCTTCAAGTAGAAGCGGTGTATGGATAATTATAGCTAATAGAATAGAAGTAATGATGTCACGAACAAGTATTTTTTTACTTTTTCACGGTAGTTTGGCTATATTTTGTACAATCTGGATGGAGAGAAAAAATAGGATCTTTGAAGGAAGAGACCAAGAATGCTTCGAGTTATGCAATAGAGATTAGTTTTCACTTTTCAGCATCCTTGTCACGTTTCTTATCCGAAAAAGAGTAAGCATTCTTCTAATGTTGACTAAGTTCAGGTGGTGGCTGCTCTGAGGAACTCACCTGACTCTATGAGTATGTCAAGCTTGAATGATCACATTGATCCTAATTTGATGGATTTGTATCCCCACGACTGTCTTTACAAGGTAAAACACACATCGCATTCTAGCTTTTATTGGATCAATCTGATGTTCTTCGGATTGATTTGTTTTGTTGCGTATATAGTTGGCTATGTTGGCGAAGCAATGTGTAGATGACGATCCCATTTTACGACCAGACATGAAGCAAGTGGTGATATCACTTTCACAGATCCTATTATCGTCCATCGAGTGGGAAGCAACTCTTGCTGGGAACAGCCAAGTCTTCAGTGGCCTAGTTCAAGGAAGATAGGTGACTAAGGCCTCGTTTAGAGTTGCTTTTCGATTCCCGGTTTCCAATTTTCCTGGTTGAACCGTATCAAGAGCTTTCGATTTTACAATTTCTTTCTGTGATTACTTTTTATATTTATAGTGGTGTGTATAGCTAGCATCAAGAGTGGTTAACCATGGTGATTCAATGGTAATTTATACGTCCTTTTTGTTGTTCATTTCTACATTCTGTACTCTTTCACAGCTCTCTTCATAATAGTTTTGGATGTAATAGAATGGTTTAAGTCGACAACGAGCAATAAACATTCATTAGGTTTCTAGCCACTAAACTAGTTTTAAAAAGGGAGTTAAATGCTTCAATGGCCACTTAACTTTATACTTCGCCACGGCTTACTCATCCAACTTAAAAAATCGTACTAGTGGCCACTGAGCGTAGGCCCGTTGCATTCCATAAGCCACTGGATGGATTCCATCCATAGATCTATCTACGTGGAAGACGGAATAGTGATGTGGCAATTAAAATTGTCCAAATGTCTAACCAAATGCACACATGGATTTCCAAATCAGCTAAACACACCTTATCAATTAAGCACCCCCAAACCCTAACCCCTGCACCCCCATATCCATTTCATTTCACCTCACGATTCTCTGGGAATTGAAAATCCCTGCAAATTGGGGCAAAGTCTGAGAAGAAATCCCCCAAGTGGAAGAAGACTAGAATGTCTTGAGAAAAGAATTTTTGGCTCAGAGAAACAAGAACTAAAGATGAAGAGATGGGTCAGAAAAGCAGGGAGATCAATAATCCTCAGTTCCATTTTCTGAAACCTACCCATAGTATATTTATGTTATGACTTGATTATGGTGAAGTCATTTGCTCATCGTTTGTGAAGATTGCCTTGATTTTTTCACCAATTTGAGTTGAGAAATTTCGTTCAACGCTATGCTGTTTTTGTTGGAGATTTTCACCAATTGAAGCATAGGTGCATGAAATCAGAAGGCAGAACATCTTGGCATTTCAATTGAACTAAATTTCTTAACACGAATGCACATTACATCCATTATACATTCTACAGAAATGCACATCACTGATGTAAATTTCCTAACATGAATCCACAAAACCATCACCACACCTGCTGCTAGACATTTGCTGGTATAAGACCTCAAATTTCATAAAGGCATGTTTGAAGAGTAGAGTGTTGAATTGATGAAATGGAGCTTAGTTGGCAGAGGAGTTTACATTTGAAAGGAGTTAACATGCCAGATCATATTTCCGTCATCCATGTCAACATTAAATGAAACATCATCCACCAGGTGAGTAATGGACAATTACGGATCAAAGTTCAGAGGCTAATGAAATACTTTCAAAAGTTCGATGAGTAAGTTGTGACATGATGCAAAGTTCGGCGGCCATTGAAACATTTAACTCTTTAAAAAGGTTACTCAACGCTCACCCATTTTTCAAACAATTACCATTCACCCACAGTTAGAAGAAAACAGTTCCAATTGTTGACCGAAATCTTACGTGGTAAACAGAAATTTCATGTGGCAAATTGACAATATGAAATCAGACCGAGTCAATAAAATCGCACCCAAGAAAATGCAACTTTTCGTTCATTTTACAAAGATGCGTGTTGTAAAATGAAGGAAAAATCACGTTTTGCTTCGTACGATTTCGCTGATTTAGATAGATTTCACGCTGTCAAATTATCACATTGAATTCTGATTTGTCATGTGAGATTCTTTGTTAATAATTCGAACAGTTTCTTGATGGACGGTGGATGAGTAATTAATTGAAAGTTATGTGAGTGTTGAATAGTAATGGCAAAAAAAACCGTCCCGCCCCGAATGGGGTGAAAAAAACCCGCCCCGACTGGTTGTTGGGGAGGGTAGGGGGTGCCCCGCCCCGAAGCGCCCCAAACCCTCCCCGTGGAGAATAAAAAAAAAAATAATTAACTATAAATTAAAAACAAAAATTAGTTAATTGAAAGTTTTTGAAAAAAATAAATAAACGGGGCAGGAAATGGGGCAAGTCCGAGCCTCGAACCCGCCCCGTCCCATCTAAGGTGGGGGGGGAGAAGGGCGGGATGCGGTGGAGGAGTGGCGGGATGGGGTGGGGCAGGGGTGCCCCGCCCCGAACCCGCCCCATTGACATCTCTAGTGTTGAATAACCTTTTAAAAATTGGGTGGGTAAGTAGAAACTTGGTGAAAGTAGTGGCATTTAAGCCTAATAGAAATTGCAAGCACTGAATTGCACTTGTATTACAACTTGTGCCTGAGCATTGAAGCCATGAGTTGGCATCTTAATTTTGCGCTTGAACTAAATAGTCTAAAAATTCAAATAGTCACGATGACAATAAATTTATTAATTTAAAATGTGTCTTTAATACGCCTCTCATGAGCATGTCAAAATTACTTTAGACAGATAAATATAAGATAATAAGTTCGTTAATTTAAAATGTGTCCTCAAAATCGCTTGATCGTCTTTCTTTAATTACATCATCTAAAAGTTTAAAGAATTAGGGTGGTGAAATACTTATTTATTTAAACTGCGTCTTCAAATATACCTCTCATGGGGACATCGAAAGTCCTCGACATGCCTCTCACAAGCACATCAAATATATATAGTCTCGAAAATTCTGAGTCTTGTGTTCTTTGCTAGTTTGATTTATAATTGTTGACTGCTGTCGACACATTTGAAATTACATTCCATGTGTCTCATCTATACTAGTGTTATCAAACTTGGGCTCGACCGGACTGGCCCATTCAACGGGAAAAAATTGGAACCCGTCGGGTTATAGATCTAGAATTGAGAAATTAGAACCCATTAAAATAACTAGATGGTTCAAACTCGAAACCTGCGAGTTTGTAAGTCGAAATCACTATTGCACAGTACAAGTTTTCTACTAAAATAGGATGTGCCTCTATCGCACCATACTATATGCAACTTAAAATCTGTATTTAGATACAAAGATACAGCAAAGTATAGCTAGAGAACTTTTACTTGCAAAGTGAAGCTAAGACGCGTCTAGGAGAAGCGAATGGCCTTCGAGAGTGAAGAACAGCCAAATTATCGATCAACAACACATCACCTTTCTGCCACGGTATGGCAACACTTTCATCTTCTAGGATTCTTAGACAGTCGTAGATGATATGAGACGGTAATGGTTTTCCATCCCCAAAAGTGACTGCCTTGACCGGATCATTTCGTGCATCTTTCCAGCCTGTATAAGCAGCAACCATGCTGTTGAACCAAATCTTGCGCTGTCTCGTTTTGTCGAATTTGATAGCTGGGATAGGGCCCATAATGGTTTTCACTCCATCCTCTGTCCATTCCAGCTTCATGTTTAACTTAGCAGCCCTGATAAGTGTCACGTTAATCTTCAATTATTTGACCGTTTCCAAGTAAAACATGTTGAGAATTTAATGCCTGTTTGGCAAGGCTTTTGTAGAGCCAAAATCTGCTTGTGAAAGTGTTTTGCCTTGTTAGAAGAGCTTTTAGAAGTAGCTGCCACAATAAAGCTTTCTCACGAAGCTCTTCTACAAAAAGTATAAGCAAAAGCCAGCCAAACATACCCTTAGTCAACTATAGTTGTCCAAATTGGCAACTAAAGTTTACGAACTGACAAACTCTTTATGCACAGGATAATGTAACGTAGAAAAGGAAAAAACTAGATCAGAATGTTTAGTGCATGTTGTCTTTTTGCTGAAGTAACACGAAAATTCAGACATGTTTTACCATCGAAAAGGCTTTTACTAAAAACCAAGCTAAACACTGCAAAAGTACAAGTCACCAAAATGGAACAATTTCTAAGAAGATAAAGAGGTGAAGAATACAAACCGTTCCTCAGCCACACTCTTCTCGTTAGTCAAGAATGTCGACTTCCACCCACGGCCAATTGGAGATGAAGGGTCGTCCTCTTCTCCCAGTACTCGAGTGTATATTAATCCATGCTCTTCCAAGTTTTGAACGAAGTCAGGGTACTTCTCTTTCATCCTCTCATATACGACGTGACTTAGGACAATAGGGGTTTCTCCCCCATTTACAGGCTCCACTTCACAAAAGAAAAACAGTTTGGAAGGATACTCGGGAACCTGTTGCAGAGTCGTTACCAATACATGAATTTTACCAACTAGTTTCCCAACAAATTCAGCGGGCTATAGCTAATAGATGGCTTCAAACAAACGACTTCTATAACTAAAATATATGGTGAAATATATGTAAACATCTTGGGAACATATTAATATTAGTCTATATGTCCCTATAACCCATGTCTAAAATCAAAAAACTTATGACTGAATCTCTATTCCTTAAATTTAACAACTTATAGCTAGCATGTAGGAGTTCACCATGAAACTCACAGAGCAAATAACAAAGGGAAATAAATCCAATCAAATAGAACATTAGAGATATTTGTTATGGTCCCATTTATAACCACTACCAATCCATGAACAAACCGTGGGACGAGTCTTTAATTGGGAAAAAATTTTGATACAACATGAATACTGCAGGTAAGTTTCCAGATGTTGATGTGCAGCCAAATTCTCAAATTTTACACGTCAATTGTGAAAATTCAACTACATCCTACATATATATACACGAATCAAGAATTATAAGATTATGGAGTTCTCCCACAAGCATAGGCATATACAGGTCGAAGAAACAGCATCAAATCACACGCAGGATTGTAATTTCTAAGACATAATCACAGTTACAAGAGCAAAATTAAGCAAAACAAACTCAAACAGACGTTACAGACCTGAGCCATCTCGTGATGAAAAGGGATTTTCTGATCTGGCGGGGACTCATTGGCAGTGAAGACCCGGCCGACGACGTTAGTCCTAGGAGCAGCACCGCCCACATACGGCAGTTCCTCGTACCCAAACGCTTCAACGACGTTGTTGAAATCAGCAGCAGTGGATACAGAAAAACCCCTGAAAAGAATAGCCCCGTGTTGATGCAGAACAGAGTCCAGCCATGGCTTCTGATCTTTAATGGCATCAGTTAAACTGTGAAACTCTACTGAATTTCTTGGGTTGGGGGATAATATTTTGGGAAAAACAAGCCCTTCAAAGAATTTTTTCTGAGGAATTTTGATTTCCGTGAAGAAATTTTGAGCCATTTTTATTTGATCAAGATTTGTTACACTTTCTTCTTCTTCTTCTTCTTTTCTACTGTTTCGTTAGATTATTGGGATAATCTGACAAAGCAAAATGTTTCATTATGTTTCGGTGTATCTTGATTTATTATTACTTGGACGTAAAGGCGTCCAAGTTCAGTTCCCAGCGAATGGAAGGCTCCTTGCGAAAGGACTTTCCCAACACAAAGTATTCAATAAATTCCATCGCTATTTATTTGATATCTGTATTAACTAATTATTACACACTACAATTAGACCAATAATATATATTGTTAACCTCAATTTTTGCATGATACTTGTGGCCAACAAAATTTCGACTACGTCTCCTTCACCTAGGTGTTACCTATGCTCTAGATCACACCTTATGAGGCAAAGGACATCTACTAAGAAAAATGTTCGATGACCATTTACACTCCGACGATCAAATCAATTGTCGGACGAGAAATAATAAATGCAAGAGACGAGAGGAGAGGTTTGACTAGAATTAGTTAGCCATATGTTCAATCCAATTGAATAAGAGAAAATTCCATATAAATAAGTATTTAAGTTTTTCAATTCAAAAATTAGGTATGATGTTTATTTAACAAAAAATCAGATAATAATTCAATTTATAAATAATAATAATAAATTAATTCACCCCACCCCACCCCACCACACCAATCCAACCCACACCCCCACACCTTAACATCATTCTCGTCTCTTATCCTCCTCCACTCTATCTCTTTATTCAAGTTCACAACTGTTGTCACCATCACCACCACCACCACCACCAAACAACCAACAAATATATCAAAAACTAATCATAAAAGGGAGGGAACACCTAATACCATCCCCAAAAACCATCATCGCCACCTTTCACGCCGACAATCAACACAAACCAGACTACAGTTGCTCAACATCGTCCTAGTGTTGCCCGTCCACAAAGCGGTCCG